CCTCCCAATACAGCTGCCCTCTTGGCTCGGGCAGGCCTCCCCACAAGGCTGTGAAGACGCCAACATTGAGAATGAAAAAGCTGAACTGGCAGAAGCTGCCCTCCAACGTGGTGAGAGGTGAGTGCTCCTGGCATAAAGTCGCTGCTACTTTAGGGGTGACCCAGGGGGAAAACCACTATCTCCAAGTTTGTGGTTGGTTCCACTTAGATACAGAACTTCACTGATTTCCATTACATCTAACCTGCAGAGCTCAAATAAATAAAAGTAGCATGAAACTACTAATATAATATAATAACCATTCCAACTAAATCAGTAGTTTAGAGTAGCTTGTTTATAAATAAAATACTTTGAAATTAAAAGAAAGGGGAGGGATGGGAATATTTCCCTAATCCACCTTGACATGGCTTAGGCTTGAGTTCTCAACAGGCTCTGATCTGGATTCCCCAGACTTTCGTTCCCTAGTTCAGTATACTTGTATCTCGATACATTAAAGTCATGAGTAAGAGTGCAGATAAGGATCACATCAGAGTTCGAGAAGGACATTGAAAGAACTGGAGAGCTGTGAGAATCATTGACTTGTCTCTTGATTTTTGGGTTACATTTCCCTCTCCCAGTGGATCCAAAGAGGAGCATGAAATGTGAGAAGAAGCCAGGACGGGCAATGTCAGCTTTGTCCTGGACAAGCAAGGCAGCCACTGCATGGAAGTTGGCATAGGTGAATTCTAAATAAGTCATGTTTTCAATCTCAAGAGCAGTTAATTGTTGGGATTATTTCAGTAGAGACTTCTACAGGCATGTTTGACTGATTTTATTTTTTTAAAGATTTTTAAGAAAGTGCAGTGGGAATTAATTCAAGCAGTTCTATAGTCAGCGTTATACAAGAAGAGTCGATCATAAAATGAAAAATGGAGGAAGGCCACAGTCAGAAAATGTCCAGGTTGAGGCCAATCCCTCAGCTAGCATGCAAGGAAGGAAAAATAACATCAGCCATGGGACTAGAAAAGAAATGGTCAAGGTCCTTCTCATGCTGATCCAGTTTGCCTACCATGGAGGAGAATGCAGTTGTATAGGGAGGGATGGGGCTGTATGGCCTCTGTGTGCCCAGTGCTGCATCCCCTTACCAGCACATCCTGGAGTAAAGCACCAAGTTTAATTACCCTTCAGGCCCTTTGGATCCTACCTGTCAACCTTGCTCCTCCTCAATAATTAGTATTTGTCCAGGGCTAATATGCCTCTTCTAATTTCATTCATCTTCTGGGAAGTGTCCCCTCTAGCAACTCACATTGCCCCAAAAGCCAGGAGCTTTCAGGTATCCCTGTAGCCGGTCTGATCACCTTGTCTTTTTTCAGAAAGTCACTCAATGTGGGCTTCAGTGAGCAGCAGCAGCGACGAAACTATAGAGCCCAATTATACAAGCATAGAGCAGCTCTTTTGCTTTCCACAACCAACCCCCAAGGAGAAAATGGCCACACCAGTGAAGGCAGAACCAAAGGAGGTGAGGAGGTCCCTCTCATTCTTTCGAATAAAGATCACTGCAGACAGCTTATCTAATACGAGATATCTTCTTTTTCTTTAATGAAGATCACATTTTTGGACTCCAAGAAAAGTCTCAATCTGAACATATTTTTGAAGCAATTTAAATGGTAAGATATGGCCAATTTTCATGAAAGTTGACAAAACTTTGAGTAGGTTTTACATAGTATCTGGAAGGTCCTCATGAAATCTATTTTAGCCAATGCACTTTGGTAGTCAGTGTTGCTGAAATATCTGAACATTTCCCAGTTTGTCCTACACTGTCTGTAGAATACTGAGTTTAGGGGTTTAATTATGTTTTTACATACAACATGCCCATATGTTGGCAAAGGCGTTACATCTCCATGTTACAGATAAAGTTCTGGCATAGACTCTTAGGGTGATTTAAGCTGTGAGACACCTCTGGAGGTTAAATCCCTCCTCAAAACAGGGCCAATGGAGAAGTTAAGAATTCAGTTTTCTTTTAAGGTAATCAAATGCCCAGAGACAGAGATCTGAGTTGCAGGATTGATCTCTGGCCTTGAGTCATTTGACCAGGGCCAGAAACAAAATTGGGGGCATAGCAGGGATCTAAGTCCCGATTCTAAGTTAGTCATGGGGACATATCTTTCCTTTTGGATTATTGTGGCTCTCATGAGGGAAAGCACGGAGTGCTTGCACAGATACCTATCTCGGCAGTGTGTGATTGTGGAAAAGGGGTCTCTGGATGATGGCTGACTCTGCTCCTCCTCCCTGCAGCTCCAACAAAGAGGTGGCTGCCATGGTCCAGAATGGGGACCGGACCAAGTTCGATGTTGAGGTTCTGAAGCAGTTGCTGAAGCTGCTGCCTGAAAACCATGAGGTCGGGAGGAAAAATGGTACCCTTAGTTCACAGAGCTGAACACGCAGTGCGGTCCTGCAGTCTTGATTCTTTATTTTTCATTAGATAGAAAACCTGAAGACCTTCAAAGAAGAGAAATCAAAGCTAGCAAATGCAGATCAGTTTTATCTTCTCCTCCTTCAGATTCCCAGGTAAGGGTGTTGGTCATGAACTTCAGCCCAATCTTTTTCTTGGTTTACCTCTGGGAAGTTTGAGTTTCTTTATAGGAACCTCACAGACCGACACTGATGGTTGTAGCTGGTGGATTCCCCCTTCCACCTTAGAGCCATCCCTTTTTCCATTACCCTTAGATGAAGGGCTGTTGCTGTTCCAGCACCTCCTCTCCCTCTGAAGTAGCAGAAGCTGGCCCAGACCCAGGTCAGACTTGCCCGAGAAGGCCCCATAACTTACTCAAAGGCATTGCCAAATACAATGCCAAGGAGGAGGAACCCATATCTCCTACGGTGGTCAGTCCTCTCTTTGCTGATCACAGTTCATCAGCAGAAACTACATCCCCACTGGTCCCCTCGCCTCCCTCCTCAAGCCACAGACTCTGCTTTGATGTGGATGTGGTTGACAGAGACATTGTGGGGTGGCCAGACTTACTGGTGATGTGGGAAGGGAGCCACTGTGCTGGCCAAGATCAGAGTGCCTTTAAGCTTTGAATCAATCTCCATCCTTAGCTACCAGCTGCGCATTGAATGTATGCTGATCTGTGAAGAGACCACTGTTGTGCTGGACATGATTCAGCCGAAAGCTGAAGCCATCCGGAGAGCCTGCGAAGGTACATGACCTGACTTTATTTCTGGATCTTATTTATGACAGGAAGCTTTAACTCCCACAAAACTCCCCTGGAGCTCTGCAATGATACTACCCAACCCCTAGAAAACGCCCCTGTGGTCCGTTCACTGCAGAATACGGGATGTAGCTTTGACCACTGATGGTCAAAGCCCTTAATAGGACTGGAGATCATTTTCTCTCACCCTCAGCCCTCTTTTTCTGCAGCAGATGCATTCCTCTGAAACACTTTCAATGGTGAAGTGTTGGAAGCTCATCAGCCCGTTCAAAGGAGCTGAATTTAGACAGCAGAGCTGGCCCCATTACAGCTAATTCATCCAACATTGCCACATTAAGACCTTCACACGGCAATTTTCTCTGCTGCCAGAAAAGCATACACCAAACTTCCCCAGAAAGTAATGATGCTTTAGTTTTTCCCTGCCTACAAATGGAACTAGACCAAAAAGTTTGTTATTTTGGGCTATAAATTGCCGATGCTCCAATTTTGTGAGTACATGGAGAGATTATGCAATAGGTTTTGCCTTCCTGTGGCAGAAACCTCAGGTCCCACTCCACTGAGAGCAGGATCCTCTTCTTGACACTGTCAGGTGCCACCTGTCCTACAGAGCCGGTTCCCCCAACTCCTACTGGGGGTTTCTCCAGCTGGCATTACAGCTGCCTGCTGGGCTAAATGGAAGCTTTCTCCAAAAAGTGTCTTTCCAGTAGCCCAGTTGTCCTTTTGGAGCTGTTCCTGCCTCAAAGCTGAGTGCTTAAGAAGGTACACCGCTGCAGCACCCTGTCGTAAAAGCAAGGACAGAGACTGTACCCTTCATGCCCTGATAATCACCTCCACCATGCGAGACCAAGAACATGTCTGGTTTTAGCTGCTGGCAGATAATCGCACAGCTGTCAGAACTGGCTTCACTGCACAGCTGAATGGAGTCCGCAAGATTAAAATTGCAGCCCAGTTACCGTCGCCTACACCAGGGTAAAACAGAGTACTTCCAAGGAAAGCAGCGAGTTGATGGCTGTTAGTGAGGAGGGTCCAGCCGCAGGTTATTTTCCATTAGGAATGAGAGACTAGATGAAAGAAAGAAAGAAACTTAAGTCAACAAAAACTTTTACAACTCGTGGAATTGAATCTGTGCAGAATCAGTTTCTCTGCAGGGTTGGCCATTGGGCTGCAAAGCTGAAATATCAGATTTGGTTTGGTGGAATTCAGAATCCCAATTTCAATGCCATTTAGGAACTGTTCTGGTGTGACAGAGGCTTTTGTTTAAAGATCTTCTGTTTTTCAGATCTTCTGAACAGTCATCGCCTGCCGCTGTTTTGTCAACTGATTCTCAAAGTTGGAAACTTTCTGAACTACGTAAGAACTTCTTTTCTCTTGTCCTCCCCCCATTACAGTATGTGGATGATCTTCTTTAGGGTTGTAATTTGGGTGGACACAGGAGTTATATCTGCTTTCTTTCTATCTTGTAGGGAAGTCACACGGGCGATGCTGATGGATTTAAAATCAGCACTTTACTCAAACTAACAGAAACCAAAGCAAACCAAACCCGCATTACGCTGCTCCACCATATTCTGGAGGTACCACTGCCAAGTTCTGTGTGATACGGAAGGGGGAGGATTTTATCATGGATGAACCATTTCTCCTACTCTACGTTCAGTTAATGCCACATGCTCATATTCATATCCTCCTGGCTAGCCATAGAGTGTCACAAGTTGGGAGCATTCGAATCATGTAGGCTCGTGGAGGCTGCTTGTGAGCACTACTCAGGAAGCTCATTATTTTAAGACTTGTTCTCCTTTCCTCCAGCATCTTTTCCCGCAATGGCTAGAACTTCCTTTTTCATATTTGTGCAATCTGCACATCATCAGCTGCAAACCACAGAGCACATGGCTACCAAAGCTATCCTGTCTGGTCTGTACCCATTCAGCCCTTCTGCCTTTCCACGGCCTCTCTCTTTTCCAACAGACTGTGCTCGAGCTTTTCATGCTCCTCTCCAAGCCTCCATGGCTTTCTTATTCCCTGCAATGCTGTTTTTTCCTTTTTTCTCCATGTTCTGCTCTGCTACTTTCATTCATCAAGGTCCCTCCGTTCCTGTTATGCATATTCAAGCCCTGCTTTAGCTGGCAGTAGCTTCAGCAAGCACAACCGTGAAAGTAAATTATGCAAATAAGATTCAAGCCTGTTTGATACCCTCCTGGGACCGTAGGAAATGTCAGACTGCGTCAAACCACAGCTCTGCCTCCTCCCATGGTCAAGAGTAGGTATCTCAGAAAAGGGTGTGTGCTGCCACAGCACGGCACGCAGTCCCGCAGTCATCAACGGGAAGAGCAATATCGGTTTTGTATATTTCTATTTCTATTATTAGTAGTATTAGTTTTAATATTATTTATACCCTTTTCACTGTTATCGTTTTATTAAAGTTTGTTTCCAAGTTTCCAACTCTAGTAGTATTAGTTTTAATGTTATTTATACCCTTTTCACTGTTATAGTTTTATTAAAATTTGTTTCCAAGTTTCCAACACGTAAGTCTCTCTCCCTGTTCTCCTCTCCTTCCCCTTCTGGGAAAGGACAGGGTTAACAGAGAGCATCTGCCACCCGCTTTAAGCACCGGCCCAGCCTTAAACTGTGACAGGTAGAAGAAGAGCTCAGCAGCAGGTCAGCTTTGCTTTGAACTACGAGTATTTCTCAACATTCAGCTCTCTTGTATGTTTTCATAGCCCAGAGGCAATGACTTTCCTCTCGGAACATGCCATCCTGTTTTGAATACGGCTGGGCTCTGCGAGGCAAAGCAAACTGCAGAGGGAGGGCAGCAGCAGGACTTGGCACAGTCATCCTTCCCGGGAATTTCTGCCCATGTCTCTTCCCCTCAGCTTCCTCTTTCAGCTCCTGCTACACAGCAAATAACACTTTTTTCTCTCTTCTGCTTCAGGAAGTAGAAAACAGCCACGTGGACCTACTGGAATTGCCAAAGGATCTTGAATATGTTTCAAAAGCAGCAGGGTAAAATTGTGTGTCACTTCCTTTGAATTAAAACCAAAAATAAATCCCATACACATCAACAATGTACCAGAAATTAGGACACATGCAGCTGGTATAGCACATTAACAAGATGGCATCTTATTTAGTTTTAACCGAAAGATTTGGTTGATGAATGTTGAAACCTCTTTAATATATAATAGTTCTACTACAGCTGGCAACACTTTGGGCTGAAATTTGCAGAGCATTCAGTTAATGCTGCCTTCCAGGCCATTCCAAAATCTTCACTGCCTTTGTGGTGGCAGGAGCTTGTGAAGGCCAACTACCTAGAAGTGTTTCTGAAGTGCCTTCAACCAGGGCAAGTGAGCTAATGCCGAGCTCTGAGGGTGGAGAACAGCGCTTTGAATGGGTAGACGTTTTTTGGCGTTCATCTGCTCAATACACAAAGTTCTAGGTAGACCTGGCAGCCTTTTCATAAGTGCTGTGGACAGAAGCTGTTTTCCATGAGCTTGGACTGTATAGAGAGTTCAGAGCTCAGATTTCAGTTCTGTGAAGTGGTGGGAAGCAGAGGGATGACCAAACCGCCAGCTCAGACTTGTCCACTCTTTGGTCAGCACAAGATGCTGGAGTGTCAATTAATGGGAGGGTTCTGTGTGATTTCAGAATTAATCTTGATATTATACGCACGGAGTCCAGTACCAATTTAAAGAAGTTGCTGGAGCTTCAGCGGAAAGTCTTATCATCAAACGACGATGTCAAACAACAGTATGAGAAACCTATCCAGGTCAGTAATGGAGCTCCCTTATATCTCCGCCATTACACACACCGAGGCACTGCGTGGTACATATGCAGCTGAGGAGGCTCATGAGAGGGTGGAAAATATTGCCACAAGACATGCTGTCAGATTTGGAAGTAGGCTGCAATGCCACACAACCCATTGGTGCCTATTTCCCAGCTTCACCCCAAACCTAGATACCTTTGGTGATGCCATTTCTTGAGGCCCTTGCCCTAGCTGCTCTCTCCACTCTGTTGTGTGACTCCTCACTTTCAGTGAAGATGTTCTCCCTCTGTGTGGATCACCAGAGTAAAGCCCTTCTCTTGGGAACTAATCTTTGCATTGAGCTTTCCATGTCTTGTTCAAGCCACCCCTGTAAATTGGCACAGCGCAGTTACCAGGAGCAAAGATCATCTGCAAATCTTAGTTTCTTCCCACCTTGTAAGCTCTGCTGCAGTTAAAAGCCAGGGCCCAGCGTCCTGCTCCAAGCTCTTACGTTGACGTCTTTTTCTTTAAGTGCATTTCACTCATTGTCCTCTGGATGGTGTTTTACTGTTTATATTAAATGCATTTCAGGATAGCATTGATGCCTCCAGAAAACTGGAAGAAGAATTTGAAACCATTGAAAGGAAGAGAGAAGAACTTGCAAATTATCTCTGTGAAGACCCAAGCAAGTTGTCCTTAGAGGACATATTTAGCACCATGAAGACCTTCAGAGATCTCTTCATCCGAGCCCTGAAGGTTAGCATCTGCACACATGATGCTGAGCATCCCTAGTACTGGTGCATGCCGCTGCTCCAACAGACAGGGGTGGGATGGGCACCTGAATCTGGTGAGGGGAAGGTGCTGGTTATGGCCTCCTCCTTTCACTGCTTAGCATGAGGTCACCTGGTGAAGAAGTGTCTGATCCCTACTTCACTGCATCCTCATGCAGTGCTGGTGCTCCTGGCCTGGCCCAGACCGTGGTGATTTGTAACTTTGGTACAACTTTAGCTGCAGAGTCACAAAGATGCTTTGGAGTCAAGTGTGTAAGTTTTAGAGGAAGGGGCTTATAAAACTTAACCCTTTGCTCCAACCTGAACAAACAGACTCAGGAAAGGGATGTGTAGTAAAAAAGCCACCAGTTTGGAGGAAATTGTGGCTTCAATACCTTCCACTTTTGCCTCAGCTAAAGGTCAGGCAGAAGATCAGCATGCTGGTAGGTAGCTGTGTTAGGCAGATCACCACTGCCACCTCCTACTGGGATGTGGCAGAGTCGTGGCCAAGCCAGCGGTCTCCCCTCTCACCCCCTTGGCAAGACAGCCCTTATTCCCCATGTCCATTTTAGTTATTGCACAGGATAAGGCCAGAATTCTCTTCCTCCTTTGCAGCCACCTGCAGATCTTCTTTCTCTTCATTGGCTTTTCTAGCAGACATTTAGCCAACCTTCTCATGCCCCTGTTACCTCACTGCAGGAAAACAAGGACAGAAAGGAGCAAGCTGCCAAAGCAGAGAAGAGGAAGAAACAGCTGGAAGAGGAAGAGGGGAAGAGACAGAAGGGAGAAAATGGAAAAGTCAGTGAGTATCTTAAAGGGCTTTTAAAAAGAGAGATGGAGCTGATAGGAGCTATTTGCTGGTCCTGCTTTAATGGACCAGTAGCGGTAATTTATTTTGTGGGTTTCCAGGTGCCGGCTGACTAAAGGCTTTTAGGTGTCTTACAGCCATAGCTAAGAATTGACATTTCACAGTTGCAGCGGGGCAGAGAAGTTAATTTTAGGTTGCCTGACTGAACAGCAGAGAAAAAAAAAATAAAAATCAAATTTAAACACTTCAGTTAACTTTTTCAGTTTCTAAACATAACTTTTGAACCCCAAATCTAACAAGAAACATTTGGCTTCTTCCCCATCCAAAATCCCCATAATCACTTGAATAGTCTGTCTTTACTACAGACTACTGATATCCCAAAAATCTTGCAGATAACTTAAATCTGCCTTTCTCTGGATGGAAACGAAAGGCACAACTGAAAAGTACAATTGGAAGGAGTGGAGAGGAAAGAAAAATCAAGATTATTTTCCCTCCCAAAAAAAAAGGTTCCCACTGACAAGGCTAGTAAACAGGAGGCATTTTAAGGTCATGGTACAACCGGGTACAAGTCTGGGCAGTGCTAGTGCCACTAATGCCAGCCTGTAGCACCCAGACTGGTGTAAACCCTTTGACTTCAGACAGGACAAGCTGCTGCAGGGGCACGGAGCACGGGCTGCTCCCAGGCTGGCATTGGTGCCTTGCTTTTGCCCAGTGGTTGCTTGTACCAGGACAGCAGTACTCACCCCAAGCAACAGCATCACTGCAAAGTCTCCTTCTGCCCCATCTCATGGGCAGATTTAACACCCATCTTTCTCTCTCTCTCAGTTAAGAAGGGGGTGGTGAAGCAGGAGGAGGTGTGCGTCATCGATGCACTGCTAGCCGACATAAGGAAAGGGTTCACGCTGAGAAAGACGAAGAACAGACGTGAGTCGGATGCAATTCCTAAAACCTTGCCTGCGGAGAGCCCAGAGGAGAGCCAGTCTGGTAAGGACACGGACCCAGCTTTACCTGCAGCTATTCATTCCCATCTGCCTCTGAGCCTGAGCCAAGCACACAAGCAAGAAGCCTTAGCGTCTGCTTTTGGGGCATTTTATTTAAGGAGGTTTTGCAGCCAGTGCCATGAAGAAGAGGAGCAGAGAGCCCTTAGCTGTTGCCAGCCAGATCTATCCCAGAATAAGCAGCAATTTGGAGCAGCATGGCCTTGCACCTGTGCGAATAAACCCTCTAAGAGACACGGCCCGCGGGTCAGCCACAGAATCATGCTGATGGGGTGCTGGTGTCACCTCCACACGAGTCCCCTCCATGCTATCAAGTCTCAGTAGCACAGCTTGTCACTGCCTTGGAGACTGCTGTGCCCTGTCTTAGTCTACATTTGGGAAGCTACAGAAGGCCTTAAAGCAGATTAGAAAACCCTATTTGCAGAAGGACCCAAGTCCTTTAGGTGCTGGTTAGGAGACAGCCCATAGGTTTAGCTTTTCTTTGGTCTCTTGACCTTGGTGTCAGTGCACGTCAGATAAGTCCAAGGACATTGGCCTGCCATAGAGCCTGACTTGTGCACTGTGGCTCTCCTAAACCTTCTCTGCAAGGGCAGGATTAGGCTGGTTGATGGGCAGTTTTGACATCCTCACGCAGCCAAGCCAGCAGTCCTACCTGGTTCAGGACCTCGCCGAGGGGGGTTCCTTCTTCCTGACAAAGGCTTTCAGGCACCCTTGCGAATCCAGGGGCTTCCATGGAAATCAGCCAGTTGGCAGCAAAGACACATAAACACCTGCTGAAAACAGAACAGGGGCTTTGCTGAGCTGGAGTCCAACTGAGGTGACCACATGGGGTATTAAGAGGGGAAGTATAAGGAAGATAAAATGGTGCTGCCTCTGCGTAACTGCTTTAGGGTCAGTGCACCCTCCACAGGCAGCTGCTAGCTTGTAACCTCTCCCAGTGGCAGAATGATCTTAGGTGATCCTTGGTTGATCCCAGGTGCAACTCTGCAGCTGTGGCTGATTGCATGTTTTTTGTTTAAAGGACAGAGCATTAAGGATCCACAAGCAGCAGGAAAGCAGACTGATGATAAGATCAAGCAAAACAATGATGGTCATCCTTCAGAAAGCACTCCCCCCTCAACTACTGCCCTGATGGAGATGGGTAGAGATGTTACAAATGCCTCAGCTTCAAACCAGGAGTTATCTAAAAACAATGCTGGAGGAAATTTGCCACCAGAGTCACGGACGGAGAGCCCCTCAGTAAACGTGGTGGAAGCTGATGGGGCCGGTCAGCCCATGCCGGGCACTGGGATGGAGCAGGCAGACAGCTGGGCAAGCCTCCAGCCAAGCACAAAGAGTGGCTCCATTGCCTTCTCTGCTGCTAACATAGGCACGGGGATAAGGTTTGCGAGCAGCTGTTCAGGCGTTGCCCTGAGAGACCAACTCAGCTGGACCAACGGGTCTATCTCTGAAGGCCAGGATGAGGAACGCCCAGCTGGTGGCTCGGAGAGCTCCAGGCTGGCACAGGAGCCAGAAACCCGGCTGAGCGAGACTGGAGTCGACCCTGGCAGCACTCAGTCTGCTCCCTGCGATGAGGCTCATCGGGCAGAGTCAAAAGAGATGGCGAAGGAAAATGAAGACCCTGGTACAGACTCGCTGTTGGACACCTCTCAAGAGAAGTCCTTTTCGGAGGAGCCAGCCACTGACTCCTCTTGTTCGGCAACGCTCCCCCCAGGGCAAACTCACACCGACAGGGAAAAGCAGAGGCCATCTGGGAAACGGAGGAAGAAGAAGAGGCACAGCAAAAGCTACTCAGGTAGCCTATTTCATACGTAGCCTTCAGGGACTGAGTTAAAGTGGGGAGGCTTCCTCATATATTTGTATATATCTGTTCATCCCCACTTTGAGGTCCAATGCCCCCTGCCCCTAGAGCCACCCTGTTTCATGAAGCTGCTATTTTTTTAAACTTGAAAGAGATTTAAAAAGAAAAACACAAGCATAGTTCATTCTTTTGACATTTATAAGTAGTTCATAAAGGGGTAATGATGAATCAATAATTAAAAAGCCCATTACACATACGTGGTAAAGATGGCAATAAGCACATCTGTCAAGTGTGCTAAAGACAGCTACAAGGCACAGTTATGTGTAAACAAGAGCTCCATTAGACTCCAGAGCAGTGATTAAGAGCAGTTAATACTGGGTACTTAATCAGCAATCACCCCCTCTGAACCACTTATAAACACATAAAGGCAGCAACATCAGTGCTGCCGTGGGGTTGTTTGGTTTTTCCTCTCCTAAGCCTCATTGCAAGAGCACTTTGCCTGCAGTGACTTGACAACCTTCCCCAGGGGTACTTTAGGTGGTTCCTGAACACCAGGCCCTCAAATCATCGCTGCAGGGTGAGGGGAGAAAGTCAACAATTAAAAAAGAGCATCTTGCTGATGCTTCTGCAAAGGATTGTATTTGGTCAGCCAAATCAGTCCCTTGCACTCAGCTGCCCAGCTGGTGCTGGGAGAGGGCTCGGCTGTCGGAGGCGTGGAGCCACCCAAGTCTCTGCTTCATGGCAACGTCCACAGCAGGTCCCAAACCTGGGAAGTGTGTCCGAGTCTCTCAGACTCTACTGAGCTGAAGCCACCCTTGGGTCCAAACTTTAATCCCAAATGAGAGGTGCCTCATAGGGGAGACACATGTGTCTGTCAGCCTTTAGAAAGATACAATATACTGTCCAAAACCTGTTTTTTGCAAGATCCTGAGGTCAAACAAATAGGCAGGAAAGTGGTGGAAGTCTCTTTTTATCAATGTTTAATGTTTTTCCTTCCAAGAAAGGTGGAGGAGAAAGGAAAGGAAGGTTTGAATACCTCCTGCTGACAAAGACTGCATAGGTTGAGCATCTGCCACAGAGGGACTTATCCTTATAATGCCGGCATGCCCTGGGGCCGTAGTTATTTACGTTTCTAAACAGGGCACTTTCCCCTGGTTAAAAACAAGCCACAAACCAGAAGTGGTTTCCTGGAGCAGTGGTTCCCAAACTTGCTTCCCAGGAGGCAGCAGGAGGAGTTGCAGCAATGGGAGCACCCCATGCTCCCAGCCATGGCGATGCTTTCCTGGCATCTGAAATTAGTATTTCTGGCTTAAGGAACTGACCCCCGCCAAAGCCACAAGGCTCCGGGGGCATCCAGGGATGGCATCTTAGGAACCTCTCTGCTACTAGACAATGTTTTCATCGTAAAAAGTTCCCTGTTGTTACATTTGCCTTGCCATGATCAGATATATTTAGTGTCTCTCTTTTGTTTAAAAGCAGAGGTTGAGACTGATACTGGAGATAATAAAACAAAAAAAGGTTGTGTGGTACAATGAGGTATGTAAACTCGCAAAGGTGTTTTTATGTGAACTAACCACAGCGTTGGGACTTTACAGATCTAATCAGTATTCAGCATATCAGCTCAGCTTTTTGTCTTTGTGTCTAATCACAAATACATGTAAAATAAATTTGTTACTCTGATTTTTACTCTCCAGGGTGTTGATCTTGTGTTGAGTGGAGTCAGTGCTGATCTCCCCTCAACACAGGGTCGCAGCCCACATGTCTGTCCTCTGTGTCAGCACCAGCCAAACCACCTTTCCCTGCAGATAATTAAAAGTAATTACTCTAACCAAGTGAATCCAGCTTCATGTGATAAACAAAGTCCTTGCTTTGATCCCATTATTTTCTCAAGAACTGTAAAAATGCAATTTCAGTACCTACCTGCTTGCGAAGAACAATTTTTGCTTTGCTTGCGGGTAGCCACTTCCTGTAGCACTGTTTAAATATCTGGAAAAGGGGATAAAACAGTGGACCTGGGGAGAAGTACTAGTTGGGGCAAGATACCAGCTCCAACTCAAAGCCACATTCAGTTCCAGAGTTGCACACAAACTAGTCCATTGGAGCAAACAGACCGTGCATATTTCTTATGTGCATTCATGCAGCTTTCTGGGATCGGGGCTGGTGGGGGGGGGGGCGGGTAAGGTCATTTGGCTTTTGTCACCAAAAAAAATAATACAGGTAAACCCAATTTCTAGTGAAACTGTGTACCAAGTTCCCTGTATCCTTCACTGATGCTGGCAACATACAGTTGCCCCTCAAAAGAAAACTTAAGGAGTTTCAGGATGAGACTTTAATTTGCAAAACTTTGCCTGTTTTTACAGCAAGTCGAAAGAAAAGCAAGAAAAAGAAACAATCAAAACACCCACTGTACTGAAATTGCATAGTTACATTGTCCTTTCCATGCTGATGAGCATCTCTTATGAACTGAATCAATAATGTCAAATCTCTCTCTGTCTCATTTCCTGAAAGGAATGTATTTATTCTCCAGCATCCCCAGTGCCTGGGGCTGGGAGCCCAGTCGGAAGGCTTCTGCTCCCCCACAGCCCGGCAGCCCCAGCCCCAGCGGTGGTAGAACAGAGGAATCTCTGCAGGATTTCCACACAGGGTTGCTTTTGTTCCTACACCTGGAGCATCATTGCTAGCAAGAGAAAATGAGATATAAATTGGGTAGTTACAGTCCTGACTGAAGATGATCCGAGGGCTGGAGCACCTCTCCTATGAGGACAGGCTGAGAGAGTTGGGGTTGTTCAGCCTGGAGAAGAGAAGGCTCCAGGAGACCTTAAAGCAGCCTTCCAGTACTTAAAGGGGCCTACAACAAAGCTGGAGAGAGACTTTTCACAAGGATATGTAGTGACAGGACAAGGGGCAATGGCTTTAAACTGGAAGAGGGAAGATTTAGATTAGATATTAGGAAGAAATTCCTCACCATGAGGGTGGTGAGGCACCGGCACAGGTTGCCCAGAGAAGCTGTGGATGCTCCATCCCTGGAAGTGTTCAAGGCCAGGTTGGATGGCCCTGCCCACAGCAGAGTGGTTGCAATTAGATGATCTTTAAGGTTCCTTCCAACCAAACTACGCTATGATTCTATGACTGCTCTTGCCATCCTCTTGGCCCTTTCCATGCCATACCACAGGATTATATCAAGTGTAAAAGGGAGGTAGCTGTTGGTTTAAAAATCCTAAGGAAGATATACTGCAAGAGCAGAGAATAGTAGCAGTGAAGCATAGGTAAGAAGTATGTCAGAACCAGTCGTCATGCTGCACAGGGAGGGCAGCTGAAACCATGAGTTAAGCATAACTCGAATTATGTATTTTTTAAGCACAGGGATTCCAGCTTGAAGCCTTAAAAAAAGTCATATTTGAAAAAAAACAGACACAGGCAGCTTTGCGTTCTCCTTAGAAAACACAGGAAAGCAATATAGAGAAATGCATGCACAAACAGTACTTTTATGAAGTGACCGAGTCAGGCAGGAGTCTCAGCGCATCCTTGAAATGCAGCGCCTGGCACAGCTACATCGGACCCGGCAGCACCAGCCTGTGCTTCAGTGCCGGGAGAGCGGAGATGAGCTGCACCTTGAAACCTGCAATTCCCCTTTTCCTCTTTTCCCATCTTTATGTCACTTGAAAAGGTTAGCAGAAACAAAAACCTGTTTGTTTCTCTTAGTCTCCAGCCACAGTGTTTCCTCACCCAAATGCAGCTCAGATCCGTCCCTCTTGATATGACAGACTCAGCAAGTCTACAGTGCTCTCCATAAATATTTTTTCTTAGGATGTCCCACCTGATTTTTTTTTTATTATTTTATTTTTTGTCCCAAGCCCACATGGTCTGTTCAGGTCACAGAACCAGTGCTTTTTCGGTACAGGACATTTCTCTCTCTGGTGAATTTGCTGGATGTGGAAGTTGCTGGGTCTCAGTGAAGCCACAGGAATCTTCTTCCTTCTTGTGCAGATCCAGCTGCAGGGATCAAGACTCAATCTCCTCATCAGTTTTTAGATCTTCTGTAACAGCAGCAGAGTAAGGGCAGGGACAGCCTGTGACTCTATGAAATAATATTTCAGAGCAGGAACAGCCTGTGACTCTATGAAATAATATTTCAGAGCAGTAAAAGACTGTTGTAATCAGCTACTGAGCTCTTGCCTCACTTTGACTATATCTTGTTATGCAGCAATTTCTGTATTAATGTTGGTGTTCTTTAAATGTCAGCTTTTATACCCAAAGAGTGGTATCCCACATTATCTCCATATTCCCAAAAGAAATAGCTTAGATGGTTTTCCTGTGGAATCAAGGCAGTGGTGGTCACACTGTGATTGTGTGTGCCCTGGTAACATCTGAACTCATTTCCAATAAAATCTGAAAATAAATTGAAGAAGCACCATTTAACAAGGTCAAAGAGAGTAGGGACTGTACAAATGCCTGAACTCAGAGGAGGTGCTCTTTGCGTTCCCTTACCTTAGACACCAGAGAATTGCTAAGGACAAATGTTCACATCTGTTTGTGCAGCTCCCTTTTTCCTCTCCTCCCATCTTCATGTCACTTGGAAAGTTTAGGGGAAACAAAAGTCTTGAAAGCACAAGTCCATAAGCAGCCAGCCTTTGGCAATTTCCCTGTGCACAAATCTACTTGATTTATTCCCTAGAAAATAAAAGAACAAACCAAACCGGGAGCATAGGCCAGTGCTCGAAGACCACAACCTGGTGAGGAGGGAGGGAAGGGGCAGGAGGGGGACACAGCACTGCCTGCCAGCACCTATGACATGCACATGGCACAGTGGGACATCAGCCTCCCCCTGCAAAGAGACAGCAGGGTTTGAGAGTCAAGGTTTTCCTTCTTTCCTTCTTTTTTTTTTTTTTTTTCAATTGTTTTCCTTTAATTCTAGAGGAACAGATGCTTCACCTCCCCTTCTGCAAACTCAGTATTTTCTGTGGGCAGTTTTCTAATGGACCAAGAGAACATAATCAAGCTAATGCTCATCTTCCTATATGGCCTTTGCCTTCATGTCTGTCATTAGAAATCGTATTTGCTTTGGTTATGGAGTGAGACAGGCTCTTAAAAATGACAGTGTGCTGCCCCATCCTTCTGATAGTCCTGCTAAATCCTCTAGATTTAGTAAGTTCAGCAATTTAATACCCAGAAGCATATTCCAATATACTGCTTGGAAAACACAAGACTCATGTTGTTGGACTGAACTAGCACCCAGCTTAAAAGTAAAGTTGTCCAAATGCCTGAACATCAGGATCAGTTCTGGAAACACAAGGTTTTTATTAAGTACATAAAAATTTAGCTCGTACCTGGTTTTAGGTTATCTGAGGAACATGAAACTGGTTTCCCTAGTACCACCTCGACCATTAGCTATGCACACATGCAAAAACACACTGCTTTCATTTTATAGTTGCAAATAGTTTGCATTTCCTCCCCCTCCTGCAGGTGTCATGGCAAGGCAGAAGAAATAACAGTCCCAGCGAACCACTCACATGTCCCGGAGCGCTGCCAGCTCCTCAGAAGCCGGGTTCTGCATCACCAAAATGCCACCGTGGCCACCTTTACCCCACCGGGATGCACCGCTTCTCCTCGCACAGCCTTTCACTCCCCTCTCCAAGACCCAAAGAGCCTCCTCAGAGACCTCGGCCCCCTTGGCCTGTGCCTTACACCGGGTGCCCGTGGGGATGGGGGCTGGTTCTGTGCATGGCAGCGTGAAAGGGTCAGACCTCTCGTCCACTGTCCTGGAAGCCAAGTCTTTCAACCTGCTCTTAGGCCAAACTCCTCTTGAAATGACAGCTGAGTGTGGCCCAAGAAAGGACCACAGTGTTTAGCCCTCGGAGAAATTTTTAAAAGAGCAGTGCCTCAACTAAATTAAGGGTATAAATTAAGCAGTGGCTGTACCATCACAGGTGGAAGCATGTTAACTCCGTTTTCTCATCACCCACTGATGAATTATATTGGACCCGGTCCAAGACCCAGATCAGACAAATATATTTTTACTCTCAATCATTTAAAGCAAGGGAAATCAGTTATAGGGAAAAAAAAGTAAAAAAAAAAAAAAAAAAAAGTACATATTTTAGTAAGCGTATGGCCATATAAACAGTGTCTGGTTCCTACATGACGCTTATGTGCAATTAAGTTGAAGCACGTCAATAGTCTTGCAGTAGTCTTCTCATAGGGACAGATGCGTCCATCAACTTTTGGAGAACCAAGGCCCAAGTTCCTTTTATTAAAGCAACAGAAAGAGGTTTTCCAGAGTGCTCTATCGGGCACATTTTCAGCTCATTCTTTAGTAAATCGCTGGGTTTGAATTCTGTTGTCAGCTGCTTGCACTCAGAAGTCTTTGTGTTCAAGCTGCAGAACGTGTAGATTCATGTTACTGTTGCTTTAAAACTGGGAATGTGCAGTATTGTGTTTTCAAAATTCAGAGCTTTATTTCTCAAGTTTTGTAATAACATTGTATCATAGTTTTGTATATAGCTGTCCATTTAAAATGATCTTTGTTTGTTGAATCTAT